ACAACAACGTCAACAACAACAACAACATCATAAACAACATAAAGGACAATGAAGACAACAACCATGACACAAATGACGACGACGACGACGATGATGATGATGGCAAGAGAAGCATTAAAGAACTACGCACTAACGAGAATTTAAATCTACCAAAACATGCGAGCCAACAGTATAAACAAATTAACAACAATAAACAACAACTACATTTTTATAAACAACAACAGCAACAACAACAGCTGTTTAACACAAACAAACAACAGCCGCAGCAACACGCAAGGAAAAACATTCAACCATTCCGAAAGCGACCGCCAATCTCCGGCCTAACGAACCCAGCATTCCGTCTGGAAAAGCCGCACACAGAGCCCCACGATGCTTTCTTCTACATCGAATGCGTCTGCAACGGCTGGTTCACCTTCGAACTCATCATTCGCTTCATCGTCAGCCCAGCAAAGTTCAAATTCGTTCGGACCCCTGTCAATCTGATCGACTTCATCGCCACTTTCTCGTTCTACTTGGACTTCATAACAACCCGGATGAAGAAAGACAACGAGATCCTCGAGTTCTTCAGCATCATTCGCATCATGAGGCTCTTCAAACTGACCCGACACAGTCCAGGCCTCAAAATTCTCATCCACACCTTCAAAGCCAGTGCCCACGAGCTCATGCTCCTCATCTTCTTCCTCGTCATCGGCATCGTCATCTTCGCATCCCTCGTCTACTACGCCGAGAGGATCCAATACAACCCCGACAACAACTTCAACTCCATCCCGGTTGGACTGTGGTGGGCCATCGTCACCATGACGACGGTGGGGTACGGAGACATGACCCCAAAAACTTATTTGGGGATGTTCGTCGGGTCCATTTGCGCTCTGACAGGCGTGCTCACCATCGCCCTACCAGTCCCCGTCATCGTCAGCAACTTCGAAATGTTCTATTCGCACACCCAAGCCAGAGCCAAGCTGCCGAAACAACGACGTCGCGTGCTTCCAGTTGAGGCAGTCAGACCGAAGAGTAGCGGCTACAAAATTAGCGGGAGCGTAACTGGCGCTGGTCAGCCGAACTTAACCAGAAAAAATCCGCTGCTACCCGGAAGTGGTGCCGAAGCAGCTGTAGCTGTGATAGCAGCTGCTTCTTCCGCCAAGTCGGCTGGTGGGAGTGCAGCAGCTGGTTGTAAAATAACGGCGAGTAATTGCAACGTAACCATCATTGAGGATAATGATGAGGAAGAGGAAGATGATGATGATGAAGTGTCTGGTGGTAAGAAGGGAAAGAGTTATCCACTTTTACAACAACCGAAGCAGCAACTGCAACAGCATCATCAACAACAACAACTGCAACAGCATCAACAACAACTGCAACAGCATCAACAACAACAACTACTACTGCAACAAACACAGCATCGACATTTGCAACAGCAGCCATTGAAATCAAACTTTCCGACGCAGCCAAAACAAATGGTTCGTCAACATTTACATCAACCAAGACAACAACAACAACAGCTACAACAGCAGCTACAACAGCAGCTACAACCGCAGCTACAACAGCAGCTTCAACAGCAGCTACAACAGCAGCTACAACAGCAGCAAAAAGCCGCTGAATATGGCTTGATGAGTGGAAGAAACATTCAATCATGCATCCATGGTTGAGTTTAAAACTTTTTCCCTTCCTGATGATGATGTTGGCGTGATGATAATGATATGATGACGTTGACGATGACGATGATGTCATTGGTGATGATGATGATGATGATGATTATTATTATTATTATTATTATTATTATTATTATTATTATTATTATTATTATGGTGATCTAATTGTCAACAAAATTGATAAAAAGCAAACAATAAACAAAACTTTCAACTTAGTTTAAACTTTAAACGAATCCAATGCTGTTATTCATTAATTAACGACAAAAATAAAGGCACATACATACAAATATAGACGCAAACAAACAAACAAACATACATACATACATACATACATACATACATACATACAGACATACATACATACATACATACATACATACATACATACATACATACATACATACATAACATTTTATTTGAAACCGTTTGAAACAAACATATTTTCATATAGACAAACATACATTTACGCAAACATGTATATGTATTATGTATATACCTACGTACAAAAACATATTACAAAACTAACATACAAACTAACAAACATTACCAAAGCATAACAATTCCATTCAATGTTTTACGTGCTGTGACAAAAACAGAAATGTGAAAGGTTCTAAAAAGAGTTGCAGAACGGTTCTAAAATGGTTCTGAAATGGTTCTAAAATGGTTCTAAACTTTGGCACCTTCGAAAATTGTTAAAATGGT